CCCCCCCCCCCCCCCCCCCCCCGCTATCTTCATTAAGAGAAACCTCAGCATGGCTCAAAGAACCACCTTAATAACACCATTCTAATTCAGAACAGCGCTGGTTCATCCCAGGACATCCAGTCAGTACCTCTTCATAAAGTCCCTACCATTTAAGAAAGCTAAAAATAACATTTAATCCTTTTATCTTTTCAAAGCATTTTCTTCAGTACTAAACCTACAAAGCAGTCAGAATCGATATAATGCTTTCTGTTGCCTGGGCCAAAAGCCATGGGGGTAGGAAAGACAACTGTGCTCATTAAATGTCTAAGTTTGAAATAAAAGGCAAAATCATGAAATCTCTGGTAAGCTCTGAGTCTGTCTAAAGAAGCTAGTCTCACTGGCCTCCTAAAAGAGTGAAGGGCTGTGTTTACATATGCAGGCAGACCTTGGAGATACTGTGGGTTCGGCTCCAGACCACTGCAATAAAGTGAGCATCGCAATAGAGCAACCCACATGAATGATTTGGTTTCCTGGTGCCCGTCAAGGTTATGTTTACACTACACTGTAGTCTGTTATGTGTGCACTAGCACTATGTCTAAGAGACAATGACCATACAGTAATTAAAAAATACATCACTGCTGAAAAATGCTAACCCGTATCTGAGCCTTCAGCAAATCATCATCTTTTTGTAAGAGTAACACCAAAGATCACCGATCAAGATCACCATAAATATAATGAAAAACTCTGAAATATTGCAAGAATCACCAAAATGTGACACAGTGAGCAGATGCTGTTGGAAAAATGGCACCAAGAGGCTTGCTCGACACAAGGTTGCCACAGACCTTCACTTCGTAAAAAATGCAATGATCTGAGAAGTGCAACACAACGAGGTGCGCCTGTGTGTACCAGGAAGAATTCAATGTCTTTTCACAAGAACATAACTACGCCACGTTTCACACACGGGAATCTGTAATACCAATCCAGAGAACAGGATTCTTCTTTCCTACCCATTTATGTAAAGATGCCCAGGGGTTTCAGCCTGATTGCCAAAGACACGGGCCAGGAGGTCATCCAAATTTCATCCACGTTTGCCCAAAGTTGACCTGGAGGTGAGCTGGTCTCCCTCTCTCCACTTTGGAACTACAAACGCCATGGAAGCCAGATTCCAACTCCCACAGCCTGGGGCTCTTTCTCCCACTGTAGGCCAAACTCTTGTACTTCGGCCCTGGGCCAAGGAAGCCATCTCAGGGCGTGGTTCCTGGCCTGCGGCTGTGGCGGATGCCCTAGGACTGGCTATGGCGACAGTGATTCTGAGTGGCCACTCAAGTAGGCTGGGTGTCTGACTCCCTTTTGGAGTCGCCTGACTCAACCTCCTATTATTACTTTTTTTTTTTTTGACCAATCATGTTATGATTTTTTTTTTTACATCTTTATTGGAGTATAATTGCTGTACAATGGTATGTTAGTTTCAGCTTCACAACAAAATGAATCAGTTTTTTATATATATATACACATACATACACACACACACACACACATATGTTCCCATATCTCTTCCCGCTTGCGTCTCCCTCCGTCCCACCCTCCCTATCCCACCTATTACTTTTTAACTGAAAGTCCACCAATTTAAAACATTTTAAGAAGTAATTATCTTCTACGCGGAGTTTACAGTCAGGCTTCAAAATCACGCCACATTAAAAACTGACATTAGGGCTTCACTGGTGGCGCAGTGGTTGGGAGTCTGCCTGCCGATGCAGGGGACGCGGGTTCGCGCCCCGGTCCGGGAAGATCCCACATGCCGCAGAGCGGCTGGGCCCGTGAGCCATGGCCGCTGAGCCTGCGCGTCCGGAGCCTGTGCTCCGCAACGGGAGAGGCCGCAACAGTGAGAGGCCCGCGTACCGCAAAAACAAACAAACAAACAAAAACTGACATTATACACAGCCTTACTTGTTTTCCAGAACTATATCCACCACTCCTGCCCCCAAGGCGGCCCTTTACGAGCTGGCGCAGAGCACCGAGAGCAGCATCTACGATGGCTTCACCAGTTCTGCCACCTACGGAAGACAAGGGGTCATCAGGTGAGCGGGGGCGGGCAGGCTGGGAGCCTTCATCTGACGCTACCTGACACTACCTGAAGCCTTTACATACCTGTCAGCTTCATCTGATGTTCAAACAGACCTAACACCACGTGTATCTTTACGACAGCCAGTTTCCTCCAGAATGCATTTCCTGCGAGACTTTACGCTGTGGGAAAAGCTAAATCCTCTCCTTCAGTGCTAGGTTCTTAGTGTGAACGAGGACATTCCGTTCACGCATAAATGCCATCTACTATTGAGAACAGTTCACAAATGTTTACTGAATGTATAACATGTACACAGATGAAACAGAAGGTTATCTAGTTAAGAGAGCAGGGGAAATTTCTAAACACAAAGTACCAAATGAGGCAAATGGAAAAACTATTTCTATGAGATAATAAGCAGCAGGATACGAGGGGTCTGAAGCTAAGAAACTGGAAAGCAATCCACTGTTTTCCACCTTGCTTAAAACACTTATTTTGGGCTTTTAGGTTCTGTAGCTGAACGTACTCCTAATATAGGAAGTAACAAGCCCCGTATTAAAGATAGTGACAATAGCCTTTGGAAGTTTACCAAAAACTATGTGCTCAAGAAGGAGTCAGGGGACTATTAACTGACTCAGAAGAATATGGACAATATATGCCTTGAGACTATCTTCAGAGTTTAAAGGCAAAACTAACAAAATCTTTTTAGAAAGTTTCTTCTTTCTTCTCCTTTCTTAAAAATAGAGTTTTCTAATCAAACTGCCCAGGAAGAGATAAAAACTTCTGAGAACGCTTCAGACTTGACATTAGAAAGAAAATACAGAACAGCAGCGTTCGGAGTGTGTTCAGATCATCCTGGCTGAGATTACCAAGTATGTCACTTCCTAAGACAGAAAGGCAAGACCTCAACATAAAAACAGCCTTCTGCTCCTTATCTACTGCAGACACCTCCACTTTCTGAATCAGTGCCCCTTCCACCACCAATCTCCACCTGGAAATATACCAAATCAAGAAAAACACTAGGGGGACTTCCCTGGTGGCACAGTGGTTAAGAATCCACCTGCCAATGCAGGGGACACGGGTTTGATCTCTGGTCCAGAAAGATCCCACATGCCATGGAGCAACTAAGCCCATGCACCACAACTACTGAGCCTGCGCTACAGAGCCCACGAGCCACAACTACTGAGCCCACGTGGCACAACTACTGAAGCCCGCACGCCGCCTAGAATCCGTGCTCCGTTACAAGAGAAGCCACAGCAATGAGAAGCCTGTGCACCGCAACAAAGAATAGCCCCCGCTCGCTGCAACTAGAGAAAGCCCGCGCAAAGCAACGAAGACCCAACGCAGCCAAATAAATAAATTAAATAAATTTTTTAAGTGGGAAAAAAAAAAAAAAAAAGAAATACACTAGGGAAAAAGACAGAGAGGGTTTTCTCACTCTAGACCAAGGGTGAGTAAACTGTTCCTGCAAAAGACCAAACAGTAATTATTTTCATCTTTGCAGGCCATACTGCTGCAGCTACTCAATTCTGCTGTTTTAGTGTGAAAGTAGGCATAGACCATATGAATGAACAAGTGTGAATGTGTTTTGAAAAACTTCATTTACAGAAACAAGCAGCAGGACAAATGCTAACCCCTGCTCTAAACATTCCATTTTTACAAGTTAGCAAAATGAACAAATTATATTCCAAAGCAGAAAAGAAGGTGGTTAGTCAGAGAAATGAAATTGATCATTTTATGGAACTTTAGAGCTGGGGAGTCTAGGAGAAATGATGTGTCTGAGGCCTCATCTCCAAGTGTTTTGACCCCCATCTTGATGATCAGGTACCAACCATACTGACATTTACCAAGTTACATGCTTTACATGTACTATTTCAGTGAAACTTCCAGTGGCCTAAAACAGGTTTTCCCATCCCCATTTTACAACCAAGAAGCAGATCCAGAGAGATAAGGTATTCTGTTTAGCCAGCAGTTAAACCCAGGCCAGGCTGTCTTCAAAGCTCACTCTATGGTTTCTCTGCTCCCTTCACATTCCCTTTCCTGAGAATGTTTTCTCAATCTGCTGGATACGATGCAGGACACCAAGTACAGACAAGACAACAGTCACTTTGTTTTTATCGTGATGCTGACTCTCCCCCCACCACCGCCCGCCTCCAACCCTGAAAACTTGTTCCTCTCACATAAAGCAAAACCTAAGATTTTAGACTCTAAGTTTAGTCACTTACATACCCCTTGTAACAAAATCTTTTTTAAAAAAAGATCAAATGAGCCGTAATTTAAACTTCAAATACATTACGCCCAATACTTTTATTGGACCCTGGATATGGCTCAACTTAGCAATTCTGACTGTCTTAAATATGATACTGTTTGCGACATCTTAAATAACAGGCGATTCTGTAAAAGAACAGGGAGTCTGAGCCAAATCCTCTCCCCACTTGCCTCAGTGACTCACAGCAGATACAACTGACCACTGTCTATAAAATGAAGAACTTGTGGGACTTCTATATTATCAATAGTTTAAAAGACTAAATAATAGCTTTAATATTCAGATACTATACATGTTTACAAGGCGTAAAGATTCATGGGCAAAATACTCCATAGTAACAGCAGTAGTTTAAACTGACTTCCAAATTACAGGACTCTTCTTTTTCCACGCTGATATGCTAGACCCGCCCCACAGTGAAGGGACGAGCAATCAGAGCAAGAAAACACTTGCGGATCTTTTCAAGTAGTAAGTAATTACAGAAACTTATTAAATATTAAGTAACTATAAAATATCCAGTAACTAGTATTTTTAAAAAACTGTAATGAAAAAGAGGGAAGCATGAAACATCATTACTCTCCCATTGCTAAGCCCATGTGGGCCTAACCTAGTATAAACAGTAATAAAAACACTTTTACCTGTTTGACACATATTTAATCTTTAGAGCAACCCAGAAGAGGTAGGAATTACTCTATACCATTTGACAGATAAGGAAATTCAGGCACGAAGAGGGTGAGAAACTTGCAGGTAGCAGGGACAACAGGTTATAGAATCCCAGGTTCTCTATTTTCTACCTACCTGCTCAAATTAAAATTCCAACCAATGGAATGAAGTAATTAGGAAAAGTCCTTACCCTGATAATCTTCTGGTTGGTTTTTGTTAGATCCAAAAATCTTAATGGTAGGAAATCCCTGAACACCATATTGACCTCCCAGGGACTGATGTTTATCTGCGTCAACTGCGCCAACTTTTACAACATCCTGTGGAAACATAAAAGAAATGTCTATTTTTCTTTCAACCAGAGCAGATTCCACAAGGACCCATCATCTGATGATGTAGACTCAGAGATAAGATAGTAAAGGGCCAGGTTCCATTTGCCAACAGAATCAATGAGAACTTTAGCCTGGGAAACCATTCCTAAATGGAAAGCTGGGCAACATGCAAGTCAGCCTGTGAGGAAACTGTGCAGCTCCCAGAATTAGCACGACTAAGCATAATTATGCCATTTAACTGGGAAACAGAATTAACAAAAGTAGACAAGATAAAAATTAGAATGTACAGTATCCCTTTGCTCCCTACATAATTTTGGCACCAGAACAAGAGTACTGGGCTTCGATATGCAAATTAACTTCCTATTGTACATTAAGCCCATTTGCTTAATTAAACTTATTTTAACATACACAGGTAAATGTGGACATCTCAGAAACTCACTTTTAATGCAGTTGCTACTTTCTTCCATTCTGGTGTTAACCTTTGGCAGTGGCCACACCTTTCAGGGGATGAAAACACAAAGAAGGCAACAGTCAAGTCCTTGATTCCCAATTCAAGAAACATTCACCAACAGTCTACTGAGTGACACGCACTGAGGGTGGGGACCTGCAGCGAGAAGAGCACTAAAAAAACACGATCGGTGACCTGAAGGGACTCACTGTCCTGATTTTACTATGATCCTCTTTCATATCATAATAAAAAAGCTTCCAACTTACTGCTGAGTTAAAGTGTATTTAAAGAGTTTAAACAAACACTGTCATTCATAACTCTCTCCCTGAGTGGAAACTTTAGTGTTTATCTGGTCAAGTGTGGCTCACATGTGGTCCCAGTTGTACGGCTTAGCAAAGTGCAGGTTCTTGGGCCCCAAGAAACCAGAGTTCCTAGAGAAGGAGTTCAGGAACCTGTATTTTAATAAGTTCTACTAGTGATTCTTAAATCTATTAAGGTTTGATAGTCCCTGATCTAGTCCAAACTTTTCATTTTATAGGTGAGGCATCTGTTTGAGAGTCTAGATCCCCAGTGCCTAAATCTCAACGTTCTTTGGCTCCCCCAAGCAGCTTGTAGAGGTAAAAATGCACATGTAGCCCCAATGTAGTGTGGCTAACAAGTGAAAAGCACTTGACACCGCAAGGTGCTGATAAAAGAACACGAATGAGTGACAGAGTCACCTGAACACAAGGAAAAATAATCTTAATCTTTTAGGTACCAGTACTTGAAAAGAATTTTTGTGAAATATAACACACACAGAAAACTGCTTTTAAACATTATATACACAGAAATCTGTTATGTTTAAATCAGTCATCGAGGTTATAGGTAGCTGTATTACTTTCATCATTGTATGATACCCATTGTGTGAAGACAGCATTGCTAGTTTGTCTATAGAGGTGACTTTTTCCTTTTTTAAACAAAGTCAATTTTCTTCTAATTAAGTCTCTAAGGATCTAATGAGCCAATGCCACGTGCCGGCACCACGATGAGCACTCTTCATACAGGATTTCATTTAATCAGCACAACCACCCTGCAAGCAGGCTTTGTCATTTTCATTTTACAGATGATGAAACAGAGCCTGAGAAGTTAAGAAACCCTCCCAATACCACCCAGTGACAAAGCTGCCTGACAGGTTTTCCTGGCTCCAGATCCCACATTCTTTTTTTTTATTTTTATTTTTTTTTTATTTTTGCGGTACGCGGGCCTCTCACTGCTGTGGCCTCTCCTGTTGTGGAGCACAAGCTCCGGACGCGCAGGCTCAGCGGCCATGGCTCACGGGCCCAGCCGCTCCGCGGCACGTGGGATCCTCCCGGACCGGGGCACGAACCCGCATCCCCTGCATCAGCAGGCGGACTCTCAACCACTGCACCACCAGGGAAGCCCCAGATCCCACATTCTTAATCACTATGTAACATCACCTTTCATAGGGGCTTAAGCTTAATCCAATATTTTTAATTTTAGTTATTTATTTTTGGCTGCATTGGTCTTCATTGCTGTGCACGGGCTTTCTCTAGTTGCGGCGAGTGGGGGCTGCTCTTCGTTGTGGTGCACCGGCTTCTCACCGCGTGGCCTCTCGTGCTTGCGGAGCACAGGCTCCAGGCGCGCAGGCTTCAGTAGCCGTGGCGCACGGGCTTAGTTGCTCCGCAGCATGTGGGATCTTCCCGGACCAGGGCTTGAACCCGTGTCACCTGTGTTGGCAAGTGGATTCTTAACCACCGCTCCACCAGGGAAGTCCAATCCAATATTTTAAAAGTCAGGATCTTTCAGCAAAACGTCCTGAAATGCTGATCCTACATACGACATATACAGTATGTCTTGCTATTTAGGTGAGCTACTTAGAAGTGTCCACAAGTCAAAATTTTACAGGACTTTGTGCCTCTTTAATTTCAATTTATTCTAATGAAATAAGGACTCAAATCAAGAGATTGTCAGAGTATATACCCCCTTCAATTCCAATGTGAAGCAATGTAAAGACAGATCAAAATGCCACAAATATAAATATAGCAGCATACCCTGTAACTCAAGGGTTCTTCAACTGGGGTCTATGAATCCCCAAAGGACTGGTGGATAAAAACTGAGGGGCTCTGTGAACTTTGATGGGGAAAGAAAAAATCCTCTATTTTCATTAACCTGTAATTGAAATTTAGGATTTCCTTCAGTTATAAACATTAACAACATATCATAGTTGGTTAGTACTTGTGACTGTCACAAATAAAAATCACAGCTATTTTCTTATCACCACTATAGTTGTTGCAGGTATCTTCAAACATCATTTATGTTCACCACTGTTTCAGAATTATGGTAGCTAGCTGTTAGATGCTGGTATTTACATTCCAGTAAATGAGTACTACATAATCATATCAAGATTTATTTTGATATTTTAATAATGTTATTCCAACATTTTAGGTTTCCTTTGTGATCCTATAGCCTTTATTTTATACATGTGTATTTGTTGGTTTTTTGTTTTGTTTCCATTAAAGGTTTTAACTACATAAACAATACTGCATTTTGACTGCACAGATGACCCTTGAATAACATGGGGGTTAGAAGTGCTGACCCTCTGCAGTGAAAAATCCACATGTAACTTTACAGTCAGCCCTCTGTATCCATGGATTCAACCAACAGTGGAGTGTGTAACACTGCAGTACAAATTTGTTGGAAAAAAAAAAAATCCACAGGTAAGTGGACTTGGCGCAGTTCACACCTGTGCTGCTCAAGGGTCAGCTGTATGAAACTGGGCACTATTAATTTCAATGGTAATTACAAGTTTGGTTTTTTTCCCCCCAGAAATAGATGTAAGGCAAGAGAAGAGCTTTTAAATCAAACCAAATTTTTTAATTACATATTTTTGGAAGCAACCCTCTTCAAGAAACAAAATGGAGTCAACCACTGGTTCTTCCCTTTCCTTTGCCCGATATTCTCTCTGCATAAAATCAATTTCCCGGGCTTCCCTGGTGGCGCAGTGGTTGAGGGTCCGCCTGCCGACGCGGGGGACGCGGGTTCGCGCCCCGGTCCGGGAGGATCCCACATGCCGTGGAGCGGCTGGGCCTGTGAGCCACGGCTGCTGAGCCTGCACGTCCGGAGCCTGTGCTCCGCAACGCGAGAGGCCACAACAGTGAGAGGCCCGCGTACCGCAAA